TGTTATTTTTGGTACTGAGTATTTAGTCCAGGATCTCACAATTTAGAGTGGCTGGTCAAGAAGGCCCCACATCTGATTGTCTCGGGGATTTTTAAAGATTTACTGTTATTTTTATTTGTGGGTGTGTATGTTACATGCCTGTGGGTGCCCACAGAAGCCAGAAGAAGGTGTAAGATCCCCTGGAGCGATAGGTAGTTGTAAACTGCCATAGGGACTGGGAACTGAAATTTGGGGCCTCTGGAAGAGCAGGAGCTATCTCTCCAGCTTAGAGAGAACTTTTTTTTTTCTCGGAGCTGAGGACCGAACCCAGGGCCTCTACCACTGAGCTAAATCCCCAACCCCAAGAGAATTTTTTTAACCAGAATGTCTGATCATAGACAAATATCTGTCACTGGGAGTAGTGGGTAGTGCAAGTGCATGTCTACAAAGCCAGTACTTGGGAACCAGAGGCAGGAGGAGCTCCAGTTTGTCTCCAGATAGCGATCTTGTCTTAAAAAAAAAAAAAAAAGAAGAAGAAGAAAGGGAAGGAAATGAAAAAGAAAAAAACTCACAAAGATCCACCACCTGCCTCTGCCTCCTGAGTGCTGGAGCAAAAAAAAAAAATTTTTTTTTTCTTTTAAAACAAAATGGTTTAGGAAAATAAAGACAAATCTTTTGACTACCAAAAACAGCAATAAGAATCTTTTCTTATCATTACAAATCATCTGTTGGAAGAAGAGAGTACCATAGGCCATAACGGACGCCAGCACACCCTATAGCTTACTCGATCTCACACTCTGTGCTTAGCTAACCATGCACTGTGTACTCACACATCTGTTGAGAGGGTGGAGGCAGAGGCAGGTGAATCTCTGAGCCTGAGGTTATTCTGGGCTACACAGCTAGTTAGGCCAGTCAGAGCAGAGCTAGAGTGAGACCTTGTCTCAGAAACAAGGGTATCATATTTCTGTGGGGATAATGCAATCAAAAGCATACCTTTACTTGACGTATATAAGAGTGCTGACTGGAAAGAGACTAGCTGAGTGTCGGCAAGCTTCTCTTCCACCGACATCTGCACGGCATACCCAGCATCTGGGTTGACATTGGGAAGAGACAGTAAGTCTGTAGAACGGACGAAGAAGTTCCCATGGAAAGTGTGAATGGAAAGACCTAGAAATAAGAAAGGATCACCATGACTGCTACGTGTTTACTTTTTCTTTATGCATTCTTTTACTTTTACTTCATAAATTTTCTTTGGAGATGTGGCCTCTTTAAAAAACAAAACAAAACTGAAATAACATACATAGCATAAAATTTACCATTTTAATGCACACAGTTCAGTAGTTTTAAATATATTCACAATATTCCCCATTTTTTAAAGATTCATTGTTATCCTTTTAAATTATGTGCACGTGTGTGTCTGTGTGGGTTTGTACACATGGCTGCTGAGCCATCTCTCTAGCCCCAATATTCCCTGTTTATAATGGTTTTTCCGTTAATTGCATATTGTACAATTTCACATCCTAAAACTCAGCAATGTACCTGTGCAGAGTAAATCCTGTGTGATACATATTTGTTTTTAACTTTATTTTAAACTGATGCTGAGTTCAGGCTACTTTTTTTAAAAAAAAAAATAATTTATTTAACTTTATTTTATGTACACTGGTGTGAAGGTGTCAGATCTCTTGGAACTAGAGTTACAGACAGTTGTGAGCTGCCATGTGAATGCTGGGAATTGAACTCAGGTCCTCTGGAGGAACAGCCAGTGTTCCTAACCCCTGAGCCATCTCTCCAGCCCATGATACCTATTTTTACTGTATTAAAAACAACATGGAGCCTCCTGAGAGAAATAAAAGTGTTCCCACCTTTGGTGCACCGGATCCTCATGACTGCCTCAAATCCAATCTTCCGAGTGAGGTATCTCTGTAGTTCCTTCTGGAATTTCTGCACTTGGACTGGGTTGTGCTGATGATGGTAAGAGGGGTAGTAATAAACACTGCCTGCTGAGTACCGAGAAATACAGCCTGCAAGAGAACACAAGCGCTTTTTACTCACCCTGTCATCCGTGTGTGTGTGTGTGTGTGTATGTGTGTGTGTGTGTGTGTGTAATCTATTATAGATATCTATATTACATATATTACAAGTTTCTTATTTTATTTTATTTATTTATTTATTATGTATACAGTGTTCTGCCTGCATGTCAGAAGAGGGCACCAAATCTCATTATAGATGGTTGTGAGCCGCCATGTGGGTACTGGGAATTGAACTCAGGACCTCTGGAAGAGCAGTAAGTGCTCTTAAATCACTGAGCCATCTCTCCAGTCCCTATTACAAATTTTTAAAGACTTAAATTGTTATTATTAAACTATGTGCAAGTATGTGTCGGATTTGTACACGTGGGTACAGGTACCTACAGAGGTCAGGGACATCAAATTCTCTGGAGCTGGAGTTATAGGTAGTTGTGAGCCACAATGTGGTGCTGGAAACATAACTTGAGTTATGTTATAGATCTCTCTCTCTCTCTCTCTCTCTCTACACACACACACACACACACACACACACACACACACACACACACACACAGGCCTTAGCCTCTCAATATACTCCTTAAAATAATAACTACTAATACTTCATATCAAAGTAACTGCACACATTTTTCTCTGACTTCTCAAGGTACCGTCAAAAAGAATATTCTGCTCCTTTATAATAGTGGTATAGCAAGCAATTTCTCTATTTCCCTTACATTAAGTTAAGAGTACAATGCCAATTGTAATGGTGCATGATTTTATTCCCAGTACTTGGGAGGCAGAGGCAAGTAGATCTCTGTGAGTTTGGGGCTGGCCGGGTCTACACATAGTGAGCTCCAGGACAGCCAGGGCTCTGTAGAGAGTCTCAAAAAAAAAAAAGAGAGTATCAGGTTTTAACAGATTAAACTGACATTACCAGGGTGGCCAGGCATGGTGGCACCTGCCGATGGTTCCAGCTACCCAAGGTTGGCTGGAGTGTGTTAGGGTAGGAGTGGGGATGATTACTAAGCAGAAGAGCAGAGACTACTTGCCAGGCATAGTAGCACACACCCTTAACCCCAGCACTCCGGAGACAGGCAGGTGGATCTGAGTTCCAGACCAGCCTGATCTGTACACAGAGTGGGTTCCAGGACAGCCAAGGCTACACTGAGAAATGCTGTCTCAGAAAAACAAAAACAAAAAATTTGGAGACCACCTTGGGTAACACAGCAAGACCCCATTTCAAAAACAGAACATTATAACAACATCATTTTTACGTTCTCTTAGAAAAACATTAAAAAATCTTGCTGCTGGGTGTGACAGAACAAGTCTGTAATTCCAGTGCTTGGGAGATGGCAGCAGGACAATCCAGAGTTCAAGGTCATCCTTGGACCCAGAGGAAGTTCAAAGTCACCTTGGGCTACCTGAGACCTGGTCTCAAAAAAGAGAAAGAGAGAAAGAGAGAGAGAAAGAGAGAAAGAGAGAAAGAGAGAAAGAGAGAAAGAGAGAAAGAGAGAAAGAGAGAAAGAGAGAAAGAAAGAAAGAAAGAAAGAAAGAAAGAAAGAAAGAAAGAAAGAAAGAAAGAAAGAAAGAAAGAAAAAGAAAGAGAGAGAAAGAGAGAAAGAGAGAAAGAAACGCAAGAACATACCTAGAGAAGCCAAATCAGAATACTGCCCACTGAGAAGGAATAAGTCAACAGCTGCCTGCTGGCCAGAACAGTCCAAGGCTAATTTCTTATAGAAGTCAGTGGATGGTGTCAGATGTATTTCCTATTAATTGTAGAATAGAAAGAGAAAATTTTAAATTCATCAAAAAAAAGTAAATATACACTTAGGTATACCACAGTGTTAAAGCACTTTCTGAGGGCTTATATTTATTCTGTTTACTATTAAAAAGAAATATTAAAAGAAAAAAGAAGAAAAGGAAAACCTCTAGTACATTAATTTTGTAATAGACAAAGGTAATTACTATTTTAACTTTAGCCTACTAAATGTACCAAATGCTGGGGACATGCTAACAATTCATACATGGCATGCATGTAGTCCTTTCCACTACCCTAAGAGGTGAGCATCAGCATCTTCTCTTCATACACAAAGAAACAGAAGGATGTAATGAATCAGTTACTGAGGTCTAACCTCTATCTAACAGGCAGCAGAATGTAGGCTGTCTGGCCAGGAATGACATAGGAACTATGTGGTAGACCTGTTTTCTCTTATCTTTTGGGAAATGCAAATTCCTAACACACACACACAGAGCTCAAAAGCAACCCCCGGCTCTTAGTTTTTGGTTTTTCAAGACAGGGTTTTACTGTAGAGCTCTGGCTGCCTGGAACTCACTCTGTAGACCAGGCTAGCCTCAAACTCAGAGATCCACCTGCCTCTGCTTCCTGAATGCTGGGACTAAAGGTGTGCACCACCACCTCCAAGCTATTATGACCACTTCTAATGGTCATTTTGGTTCCATTTTGTCCCTAGCAAATGTATTCTCTTAGTCTTCCAGACTTTCTCATCAAAACCAGGTTGGACTTCTAAAAGCCTAAGATGTTAAAGATAATATAATAAAGCACAGATGCATCAGGCAGGTAGAGAAAATAATAAAATAGTTATATGGACGTAACAGTGAAACCCTTTATTCATTACCTACAGCCCCTCCTCCTCACAGTCAAACAATTAATAAACAAACCAATGGAAAACAAGCTCTTAGGTCAAAGAGATAGCATCAGCACAGACCAGGCTATACCCCTGGTGGTCTAACCTTAGCAGATGACCTTTGGTTGGGTTCCTCTCGTGGTTTCAGGGCTCCCACACCAAGAGTTGGGAGTTGTGTTTGGAAAACAGACATTCGACCGCCAGTTGGTGACATCAACTTAAATGCAGCCTGAAGTGCAGGACCCAAGGCACTCTGGGTCTCCAGTGTCTTAGAAAACATCTGTGGCAAACTTTTCAGTAAATCTTGGACAAGCTTGTGAAATAAAGCAAGAAAACTAAAAAATGTTACAATTAAATTTTTTTCACAATAAATCATTATCTAATACAACAGACAGGACACTGAATCATGATGATGGTCAGAGAATCTACGGACACTACAAGAAACAATGAAGTCGGTCAATGACAAGAAAGCCATTTTAAGTAAACATTATAAATTGGCAAGCAAGACATTCAAACTGGGGCCTTACAGTTCTTGCACATGCAATAGTCCAGCAAGACTGTAAGTCCAGAATATATGCAAAAGAACCATCACAATTTAGAAATTTATCTATTTTAATGCCATGAAACATGGCTTTCTCCATCACCTTTACATACTTTATTCTCTTGAGTTTAACTCTTGCCTGTTGCAAAATCTAAGATATCCAGTAACAATGCCAACTAGTAGTATTACTATAAAAGAAAAACAAAGTCAAAACCAACTGCCTATTTAAGTTAGGTTGTACAGATAAAAGAGAATTAATGGGGAAAAATACTTTGTGCTATAGCACTGCCCCCACTGACAAAGTGGGGAGCACAGCCTTGCTAGGTGAGTGTTATCCTACGCCATATATGCAGGTACAGGGTAGACAACATCCCCCCTTCAGACACATTCTGTTCACCTCTCACTGTATTATGTCATGGCAATTTCCAGGCAGGTAATAAGAGATTCTTCTGAACTGACCCAATGACACTCTGTGAATCAGAAAAGCAAAAGCACTGAGAGCAGCCTGGCTATGTGCTTCCGTGCAGTGCCCAGCAGCCTTCTTTCAGCATCCCTCCCTCTGCCCATACGGCCTGCAGGCCAGGCCTCCTCGGTGCTCTTCCTTCTGGAAGAGCCTTGTCTTCCGCTCCACTACCGAGAATCCGCTGCCTTAGACTAAGAAGCGATCAGTACAAGACTGATCTCAAGAACTGTCCATCTAATGAACTTAAACTAAGAGTAGATACAAAATGCTACATAGCCTAAAGAAATCAAAGAAAAGCTAAATTTAAAGTTCATTTCAGAAATATGCATTCAGTGTTCAATTCAATATGGCAGGAAGGGAAGTATGCCTTACCTCTTTACTTTCATTTAAGTTTACTAGCAGGTTCTCTGGCATGGGTATAAAAACATCTGGAAGAATAAAGAAGCATTCATTTTATTATTTATTTATCTTTTTTATTGTTATTGTTTTTTGAGATAGGATTACACTGTGTAGGCCCTGGCTGCTCTGAAACTTTTAATGTAGACCGTTTGACCAGGAACTCACAAGAGATCTACCTGCCTCTGCCTCCCAAGTGCTAGGATTAGTGGTGTGTGGTTACTACACTTGTTAAAGACACTTTTTTAATATTAGAAAGACAGCTATGGGATTGGAGAGATGGCTCAGTGGTTAAGACCACTAGCAGCTCTTCTAGAGGACCCAGGTTTAGTTCCCAGCATCCATATGGCTCACAACCATCTGTAATTCCAGTTCCAGAGGATCCAATACTACCTTCTGACTTCTGCAGACACTAGCTAACAGAACATACAAGTATGCTTTGTTTTTTGTTGTTGTTGTTGTTTTTTTTTTTTTTTTTTTTTTTTTTTTTTTTCCGAGACAAGGTCTCACTATGTAGCTCTGGCTATCCTGGAACTCACTCTGTAGACCAGGCTGGCCTTAAACTCACAGAGAACCACCTGCCTCTACCTCCTGAGTGCTGGGATTAAAGGCGTGCACTACTACACCCAGCAAGAATGCTTTGTTTTTATCTGAAATAATAGTTTACTAATATATTCACTTGGAAGGCTGATGCTTCTTCATAAAGGAATTCCAAACCGGGGCCCTACTGATGGGACTACAAACGCAGGTGAACCACAAGGTGCTCTCAACACTCTAGGTGAGCCTTGGAATACTTATTCCTTCATTTACTCATTTGCTGGGCTGGCTCTGTTGTTTTGTTTTTAATTTTTAATGTGCATGTGCTGTATATGCCAGTGCATAGGGGAGCCAGAAGACAGCCTTGATCGAGTAGCATCTTCAGAAATACCATCCACTTCCTGAGACAAGATCTTTCATTGGTCTGGAGCTCACCAGGTAGGCTAGACTGGGGGCCAGCGAGGCCCAGGGATCTGTTGAGTGTCTTTCAAGCACACCACATGTCTGACATTTTTAAGTTGGCTCTGGAGGTGGAACTTGGATCCATGGGGCTTGCAAGGCTAGCACTTTACTGAGAGAGCTCTCCTTAGGCCCTCATTGAGTTTGGAGACAGGATCTGACTGTGTAGTGCAAACTGACTTGGATCACCTTTCTGCTTCTGTCTCTCTAATGCTGAGATCACAGATGCGCACTACCATGTTCGGCTTATGAAACCCTGTTAAAAGAAAAACTCCTGCTCAAGGCCTAGGGCGCATGAGACCTTGTCTGAAAACAAAAATCTTTTACTTCATTATTACTTTTAGAACCTTCATTCAAATCCTTACTTTTTGATAAGTAAATACAGAAACTGATTTCTTTAAAAATAATTTTCCGTGCACCTATATTTTCTTCCTAGTTTGATTCCATCTAAGAAAAGGAATTTAGGGCTGGAGAGATGGCTCAGAGGTTAAGAGCACTGGCTATTCTTCCAAAGGTCCTGAGTTCAATTCCCAGCAACCACATGGTGGCTCACAACCATCTGTAATAAGATCTGGTGCCCTCTTCTGGCCTGCAGGCATACATGCAGGCAGAATGCTGTATACATAATAAATACATAAATCTTAAAAAAAAAAAGGAATTTAATTCCTAAGAAAAACAAATTTTAAATGTACTTTCCACTTTGAATTCATTATTAGGGTTGGATATAAGGCTCAGTGGTTGCTGCTCTTCCAGAGGAAACTAGTTCAAATCCCAGCACCCATGTCAGGAGCTCACAACTGTCTGTAACTCCAGCCTCAGGGGATACAATGCCCTCTTCTAGCCCCTGCAGACATCAGCAGACACAGGGACACACACACATAGATAATAAATTTTTAAAAATTCATTGACAGGTATATAATTACCGGTATTTTCTCTCGGCCATGGGCTGTTTTCTGTACACCATAGAGTATTCCCTGATGACCTGTGCCTTGTACATGTGAAGTGAGCTCTCTTACTACTCAGTCACATCCCTAGCCACAAATATTCATGGAGACCGGGCTTTACTATAGAACATTTCAAGCTGGTCTCAAATTCAGCAATACCTCCCAAAGGCTGGTATTACAGGCATATGCTACCATACACATCAAAAAAAAATTTTTTTTTGCTTTTGAGACAAGGTCTCACATATTCCAGGCTGCAGTTGAATTCACTATGTAGCTGAGGATGAATTTGAACATGGACTTCTGCCTTTTTTTTTTTTTTTGGAGACAGGGCTTCACTGTGTAGCCCCAGCTGGCCTGGAACTTGGTTTGTAGACCAAGCTGAACTGGCCTTGAACTCACAATGATCCAGCTGTCTCTGCCTTCCAAATGCTGGGTTGCCTCTGAGTGGTAAGTGCTGGGATTAATTATGTATTTTTGTTTTTCCCTCTTCCTGCCTGTGTTTGGGTGTTGTTTATAGGAAGCCATTGCCAATCCAATCTTGAGAAAATTTTCCCCAAATTTTTAATTCTTATCCTTTTTTTTTTAAAGATAATGCTTCTCGAAACTTACAATGTAGACCAGGCTAGCATGGAACTCAGTGGTCCATCTGCCTCTGCCTCTGGGTGCTGGAATTACAGGTGTGCTCCACTATACATAGCCTTTTTAAAAAAATATATTTTTAACTCAAGTTTACTTCTTCTTCTTTTTTTTTTTTTTTAAAGATTTATTTATTACATATACAGTGTTCTGTCTGCACATATCCCTGCAAGCCAGAAGAGGGCACCAGATCTCATTACAGATGGTTGTGAGCCATCATGTGGTTGCTGGGAATTGAACTCAGGACCTTTCGAAGAGCAAGCAGCTCTTAACCTCTGAGCCATCTCTCCAGCCCTCAAGTTTACTTCTTTCCAGTTTTTTTCCTTTTTGTTTGGTTGTTGTTTTTGAGACAGGGTCTCACTATTTATCCTTGGTTGCCCTGGCACTCAGAATGTAGACTAGGTTGACCCTAGACTGTAGTAATTCTCCTGTCTCCTTCTTCCAAGTGCTGGGACTACAAGCATGTGCTACCACATCTGGCTTACTTTAATTTTTTTTAAACAGCATAGTCTCTTTTGTGTGTCTAGTTTTCCCTCACTTGAATAGCCTTGGAATCATAAATTAACTGTTCCCCTAGGGTCTGTTTTTGAGCTTCAATATCTAGTTTTCTTCCCAGTTTTGATTGGTTGTCTGTGTGGCACAGGGAGGCGCTCTCCCCCACAGCTCCACCCATGCCCTCAGGCACTTTTTTTCACGGCTCCCTCTCTCAGGTTCTAACATAAACTTGTCTTGCTCAGAAATCATTTCTTTCCCATAACCCTTTTGCTCTCTGATAAAATAAGAGATTGGACTTAAAGATTCTGAAAACCCCATCAATCTAGTATTTTTCTACATAAGTGTTCCCCTCAGCCTGGCATGGTGGCACACAAGTTTAAGGCCAGCCTGAGTTATTCAGTGGGTTTGAGCTCCGAAAAACCAAGTTTTTCCTCCATTATACTAGAGTCACACCACACATTCCTGAGTCACCAAACACTCAGGAAAATTCTCCAGGCAGCTCAGTGAGTTTAAGTGTATAACACATACCGTCAATATCTGAAACTATTAGCATCTGAGGCTGGGAGAGACCCTCCTGAAGACTGTAGAAATGGATAGTGCTATCAAATGTTATGAAGCCGATTTTTGTCCTAGTGTTGCCAGGAAGCCTAGAAATAAATTCACAAGGAAGTTTTAATCAGTGTTCACAGACACACACACACACACAAACACACACACATATTCTTTCTCTCTCTCTGCTAAGTGTCATATGTAAGCATCCAATATAATAGTATTGAAAGTGGCCCAGCATAAACAGCCAATGTTTACCTGCCATGAAAACATTCTCAGCAGTTTACAATCAACTGCTTCTATATAAAGTTATCATTTCTTAGCATATGTGAGCTTTTTAAAAACCTGAAAAATATGTACAAAACTGGGCCTGATTTCAAGTTATTTTCAAAAGAATAAATACTTCAGGGGTTGGGATTTAGCTCAGTGGTGGAGAATGTGGCAGATGGGTGTAAGGTCCTTGGTTCAGTCTCCAGCATCACAGGAAAAAGAATGCTTTAAAAAATTATGATATAGCATTTTAAAATGCATTGTAGGAGCTGGAGAGATGGCTCAGTGGTTAAGAGCACCAACTACTCTTGCAGAGGAATCAGTTCAATTCCCAGCATCCACATGGCAACTCATAGCTGTCTGTAACTCCAGTACTGGAGGATTGAATCTTCTCTTCTGACCTCCTCTGGCACCAGGCACACATATGGTGCACATAAATACATGCAGGCAAAACACTCATCCACACATAAAAAAACAAATCTTAAAAAAAAGAAACTAAAATGCAATGTAAATTTAGCTATTGCATCTATTTAAATCAATTACATAAAACTTTTATATTATTTAATGCCTTTAAGAACAAAGAGGAGCAAAAGTATCTGTTTTAAAGGACCCAATATATGGAACAAAATTTCTTGGTGGCAAAGGAACTAGCTTCCAGCCTTTTCCATGTTTGGGTGACTTAATGGACCCTTTCAGCCACACACAATTCCCATATACAGCCTAGAACATGAGATACAAATACAGACAAGAACAAGAATGCCTTTTTGGCCAATGTGAAGGAGTTACTCAGTCTGTGATGAAATCTGACCTATGCATTTTTTATATTAAAAGTTCACACTAAAAAGTTCTATCATGTGTATATAACATTAAAAACATAGCTCTTTTTTTTAGCCTGGCATGGTGGTGCATGCTTTTAATTCTAGCAGTTGGGAGGCAGAGGCAGGCAGATCTCTGTGGGGTGAAGGCCAGTCTGGTCTACAGAGTGCGTTCCAGGACAGCCAGGACTGTTAAACAGAGAAACCCTGTCTAGAAGCCCCTCTCGCACTGAAAGTCAATGAAATGATTCCTAATGATACTTTGGCTAGACTCATAGATGGTGCCTGCCCAACTGTCATCAGAGAGACTTCACCTAGCAAGTTTTTTTCCCACTGATGGAAACAGATGGAGAGACCCACAGCCAAACATTAGGCAGAGCTCAGGGAATCCTATGGAAGAGGAGGAGGAAGGATTATAGGAGCCAGAGGGGTCAAGAACACCACAAGAAAACCACACAATCAACTAACCTGGGCTCATAGGGACTCACAGAGCCTGAACCGACAACCAGGGAGCCTGCATGGGACTGACATAGGCCTTCTGCATGTGTGTTACAGTTGTGTACCTTGGTCTTTTTCTGGGACTCCTAACACTGGGAGCAGGGCTGTCTCTGACTTCGTTGAGTGCTTTTGGGACCCTTCCCTTCTACCCGGTTGCCTTGTTCAGCTTTAATAGAAGAGGAGGTGCCTAGTCTCACTGCAACTTGATAGGTCATGGCTGGTTCATATGCATAGGGGGTGGGGGTTGCCCTTTTCTGAAGAGAAATGGAGGAGGAATGGATGGGAGGGGAAAACTGTGGGGTCTAGATATGAAAACAAACAAACAAAACATATATAAACAAAAAAAATTAACTAAAAATCATACCATGATTAGGCACAGTGGCTCATGTCTGTAAGGCCAGCACTCAAGAGGCTGAGGCAGAAAGATTGGTGAAAATGTGAGGCCAGCCTGAGCTATACAGTGAGTTTGAGGCCTGTCTTGACTACAGAGTAAGAGCTCCTCCTTAAAGAGCCTTGAGGTATTTGAAGGTAAAATGACAGAAAAGGTGTGTGAAAGAGGATTACATGAAGCAGAAAGAGCAGCATGTTGAAGGTGACGTGGGGAGGGGGGTCCTCAGATTCCTCTTCCCATTTACTCTAAGCAAGGCCTAAGCTAACCCATTTAAGCGGTCCTTTAGAACATAATTATGTACCTTTAAAACAAACCAACTGAGCCGGGCAGATCTCTGTGAGTTCGAGGCCAGCCTAGGCTACAGAGTGAGTTCCAGGAAAGGTGCAAAGCTACACAGAGAAACCCTGTCTTGAAAAATCAAACCAAAACAAAACAAAAACACCACCACCAACAAAAAAAACCTAACTGTTCATTTTGAAGACATCATCCATTTCAAATTAGCTGAATTAAGACACTTACAGATCCAGATTGTCTAACAAACTCTGGCAAACAGAATTCAAGTATCCAGTTTCTATTGCGTTGTGAGATACGTCAAACACAAAGAGGTACACTGGAGGTTGTGGTGGTCGTAACTAGAGGAAAAAGAATTCAATTAAATATATCCAACAGCATTACATTTGAACTCATGTGCTGGGGTCACACACAGCAAAACTACAACATCGACACTATTAAGGGCTAAGTGGAGGCAGCGCTGAACTTCTTCCTTGTTTACGGATTCCTCTCTCCATTTACTCTAAGCAAGGCCTAAGCTAACACATTTAAGTGGTCCTTTAGAACGTAATTATGTACCTCTGAAAAATACTGATTGTTCATTTTGAAGATACTACCCATTTCAAATGTAAGGGAGGAGAAGTGTGTCTTCACAGTTCAGAAGAGATCTCTTCAGGCAGGAAAGAGCACACGCCATCACAAGGCTCTGGCAACATTGGCAATGCTCTGATCATTGTGTGTGTGTGTGTGTGTGTGTGTGTGTGCACGTGCGTGCGTAGGGTGTTTTGCCTACATGTATGTGCACCATGTGCATACACCCTGAAGTCAGAAGGGAATGTGGATTCCCGGGAACTGGAGTTACAGATGGGTATCACCTCTCATGTAGGTTCTGAGAACCGAATCGGAGTCCTCTGGAAGTTTACCAGTGCTTTTAACTCCTGAGACATCTTTGCAACACCTAATGTTAGGATACTGATCGAGACAGTGCTAACAAAGGCGGTTTACTTCACAGTTATTTGTTAACTCATACATTTATGTTTGATTGACTTGTCTATTGAACATATTTATCATTCTCTTTTTTGTTTTTGTTTTTGAAAGGATTTCTCTGTGTAGTTTTGGAGCCTATCCTGGATCTCACTGTGCAGACCGGGCTGGCCTCGAACTCACAGAGATCCGCCTCCCTCTACTGCCTAAGTGCTGGGATTAAAGGAGTGCACCACACCTGGCTGGAAGAGCAGATGCTTGGGCTCTTTGACAGAGAAAGTGCAGAGGCAGGTGGATCGCTATGAGTTCAAGGCCAGTCTGGTCTCAAGTGTTACAGGACAGTCAGGGCTACATAATTAAGATCCTGGTTCAAATAAAAAAGAGCAAAAGTCATTATGAATGGCACCTGAGGAGTGACATTAGCGGCTGCTGTCTGGCTTAGAGGATCTCACACGCATGCGTGCACACTAATAAGTTAGTAGTCAAGGCTGGAGTTACATGCTAGTGTCATTTTCACAGTCCTTTCTTAGATGAAATCAAGCCTTAGTGAAAGAGACCTAAACTAAGAGGCCTGGGCCTTTTATTTATTTACTTTATTTTATGTCTATGTATGAATGCCAGCATGTACATATGTGTGCTAATTACATGCAGTGCACACAGAGACCAGAAGAGGGCTTCAAATCCCCTGAAACCAGAGTTACAACTTGGGTCCTGTATAAGAGCAGTCAGAGTTCTTACCTCTAAACCGTATCTCCAGCCCCTGGGGTTTTGGTTTGTTTGTTTTGAGATGATTTTATATAGCCCCCAGTGGCCTAACTCACATATAATGCAGGCTTGAGCTCCTAATCCTCCTGCCTCTATCTCTTAAGTGCTTGGATTACACTGCATTATTTGTAAAACACCGAAGTCTGATTTGACTGAAATATGAACTATGAATATGATCCCAATATTATATTGCAATTTGCTTGACACAGACAAGACACTGAAGTGGAACATCACACATCTTTACTCTCCGAATATCTGAATCTAACTCTGTGTGTGTGTGTGTGTGTGTGTGTGTGTGTGTGCATGCACACATGTGGGTTCTGGGGAGGGACACAGATCACCAGGCTCGCACAGCAAGCCCTTGGCCTTGTTGAACAGATACTTTCTCAGCTAAGAACAGAACTCTGGTAATGGCTATTACGTTGTTGGACTTCAAATTCAGGATCATGGCTGGGGGGATGGCTCACAACCATAGTCACACACTTGGAAGTCTAAAGTAGGTGAATTATGGGAACTTGGAAGCTAGCCTCAGCTAACTAGCAAATTCCAGGCCAACCATGGCTACATAGCAAGATCCTGTTTTACAACAAAACAACAACAACAACAAGAAACCATACCCTCCTCCTCCTCAAAAAAGCAAAGAAAAAGAAATCTTACCATGTATTCTGAAGGAGCCATGAACTCAATAGTAGCATTCTGAACCTCAGGTCTTCTGTGAGGTTCTCCATAAACTCTGGTTAAAGGGTTGTACATGAATTCTTCAGGAACTATGCAACACAAACAATATAGTGATAAAAGAATTAATTCAATACCTTACATTTGGATATTTTTCTTAATTTAGGGTGTTATAATTAACTTGTTCCAAGATAAAAAAAATAATGTAACAAATTGACTTTTAAAAAGGGATCCAGCTGGGCGTTGGTGGCACATGCCTTTAATCCCAGCACTCGGGAGGCAGAGCCAGGCAGATCTCTGTGAGTTCGAGGCCAGCCTGGGCTACCAAGTGAGCTTCAGGAAAGGTGCAAAGCTACACAGAGAAACCCTGTCTCGAAAAACCAAAAAAAAAAAAAGGGATCCATTCGCTGGGTGGTGGTGACGGACATGTTTAATCCCAGCACTCTGGAGGCAGAGGCAGGCAGATCTCTGTGAATTCGAGGCCAGCCTGGTCTACAGAGTGAATTCTAGGACAGCCAAGGCCACACAGAGAAACCCTGCCACCCCCCCCAAAAAAAAATTGATTTTAATTTAGCCTGGGTGAGATGCTGTATGTCTATAATCCCAGCATGTGAGAAACTGAGGCCAAGATGATCATCACCAAGTTAGGTGTCAGCCTAGGCTATATAGCAAATAAATACCAAGCCAACATGGGGTATAATGTGAATCCCTGCCTCAAAAATCAAAGGGCCAGCAAGATGGCTCAGCTGGTCAGGGTACTTGCAGCCAAGTCAACAACCTGAGTCTGATCCCTGAAACCCGCATTGTGGATGGAGAGAACTGATTCCAGCCAAGTTGTCCTCTTATCTCCATGTGCATATTGTGGCTTGTGCCCCCCACTCCCCAACCCCCAACACAAAGTAAATAAATGTAATGGGGAAAAAAAAAGGAAATAAATCACAACCACCACCAACAACAACCTAAAATCTTTATGTACTCAAAGGATAAACTACAGTTTATTAAATAGCTCAATGGCATATGAAGGAGGTTACAACTTTTATCACAACATCAGTTGTGTATTACTGAACATACACTCAAGGTGTTAAAGGTAAAGCCCAGTGGTGGTGGCCCACGCCTTTAATCCCAGCACTTGGAAGGCAGAGGCAGGTGGATCTCTCTAAGTTTGAGGGCAGCCTGGTCTACAGAGTGAGTTCCAGGATAGCCAGGGACACACAAGAGAAATTCTATCTCAAAACAACAACAACAACAACAACAACAAAAAGATTAGGTGAACTAAACACTATTTTTTTTCCTGAAGTTTTATAAAGTAGAGAATACACTTGGTTTTGTTTTGTAGCCCAGGCCAGCCTTAGCCTCTGCAAGGGCTCAGATTACAGGTGTGTGACACCACTCAGCTGTAGTCTCAACTCTTGATTAAAAATCTTCCAAAAAGCTATTTTTTTCCCTTCTCTCGGAGTCAAGGGCTCACATAGTCTGCCCAGGGTGGCTCTGGACTCTTCTGTATAGTCCAGGGATGACCTCCTGCCTCTGCCTCCCAAGTGCTAAAAATTCCAACACAATGCTGTTGGTTATATGATATTCTTCAAATATAAATTATAAAGTAGTTACTGAGATAGCACACTTCTTCAGTTACTGATCACACTGCATTCAACTAACCTAGTACTGCCCCACCCTGTTCAAAAGCAGTGAGGAAATGAGACAGCTGGCATTCTATGGACTTATTTTCTTTTACCCTAGGGGGAAAATTACACGAATTAATTTCAAAATAAATTATTTTTGGCTGGCAATATTGCTTAGCTGGCAGAGTGCTTGCCTAACATGAAAGAATCCCTGGGTTCAATCTCCAGCACTACATAACCCGGGTATGGTAGCATATACCTATAATTCCAGCACTGGGGTTACAAACAAACCTTAAACAATACCATGAACCATTCCACTTACATGCTCAATATACTTGTAAAATATTGTCTCAAAATGATCATCTCATTTCTGCCTAAAAGTATTGACTTATTTTTAAGTCTAAAGGCATAAAAAAGTCAACAGCAGCTCTCTGAACTAAAAGACTATCTATATCAAGTAAGTCAAAAGCTGTTTTTCTTCTGAGATAGGCTTTCACCATTACTACCATCCTGCTCAGACTCCCCAGTGGTCAGAATTAGAGCCCTGTGCCGGCTCCATGTCTCTCTATGTAGACCAGGCTGGTCTCTCAAGACAGGGTCTC